GCTGAACGGAAACGAATTTCCTGGTCATAGTGCTAGCGGACGGATTTTAGCGAGGTTCGATTTCTTATCAAATCAACGTATGATGTCCTGCCGAGCCTAACTGACTTGCATATAAGAAACCAGCGATGAGGAGAGTGCATCACTAACGACCACGTTTGATGCATCTAAAAAAATATATTATACAACTGTTATAAACTAATATCTGTCTAATATTATGTACATGATTATGTTTTTCTAAGAAATGTTGTTTAATGGAACTGAGATAAGAAATACTAAAGAATAAATTTATTAAATAAAATCGCCATTGGTTTTAGTCACGGCTCCCAGACTTCAGAATTTCCTGCAACTCTTCTGGACGGTCCACTTATTCAAGCAACTCTTCTGGACGGTCCACTTATTCAAGCAACTCTTCTGGACGGTCCACTTATTCAAGCAACTCTTCTGGACGGTCCACTTATTCAAGTTAGTGAATGCTCCCATAATCCTTGCCTTCACTTTATCTTTATCTTACAATGAATTCAGTTTTCAGAGTAATTTAGTATTTCCGGTAAATTTTATATTTTGTTTGTCCAACTTTTCTTCCCGTCTTGGCACTAGCTTTACCGTACATACTCGTGTGTAAGTCGAGCTTCAAAGCTACAATGATCATTTGTAAAATTGAAGGTTAGTCTATACATGGATATTGATTTCGTTAGGTTGAATTCCGTACAAGACAACATTGCCGAGAGACATCTCTAAGTTCCAGACATGGAAAATAGTCACCAGAAAAAGAACAAAAAACTAAAATCAATCAGATGTAACAACAAAGAATGAAACCCAGTTCTAATTGACTTAAATAGTTGAATAGAAATATAGAGCATTCTTGCTAGAAGAAAATGACAGTGTATTGTAGTGTGTGGCATATTCATTTGTCTGGTGATGTTTACTTTGCTTTTGTAAGACAATTGTGGCGTTGGTTTTAATTGGTTATAATTAGGTTTATTTTACTTGAAATTATCGTGACAAAATAGTTCATACTAGTAGGCAGAATGTTATAAGTACAGTGCTAGTAAACTGAGGGTTTCTCCAGAATTTTTACGAAAGTCTGAGACTAAGCCAACACGTGGAACAACGAACCAAATACAAATAATTACTAAGTCTGTTGCGTTCACTTTCACACAAATGTCTTAGGGAAGCTGCATCGATCTATTCAACCCTCATCTAAGGGTTAAATACCAAGGTGGACTAACCTCTCTAGCCTTGATTGGTAGTGCTTCTCAGAGAAGGTCAGCACTGATTTAAAATCATAGAGAAGGTAGCGACGGGAAACCAGTCCACTCTCTTTCCCAATAAGTCATGGCAATTCACAGATTATGAAGAAAAGTAATCTTATAGAAAAACTACTCTGAATTCCGAACCTTGGTGTAGGCGATGGAAACCACTCCACTCTATTGCCCAAGAATTCATGGTTAGTCACAGATAATGAAGAAAAGGAATGTTAGAAAAGAACTCCTCTGAATTCCAAAGCACAGAAAAGGCAACGGAAAACCAAACTACTGCCCAAGAATTCATGGCAATTCACAGATAATTAAGAAAAGGAATCTTAGAGGACTACTCTGAATTCCAAACCGTAAGGAAGGCAACATGAAAACTGTCTATTTACAAACCTTCATTCAAACCACGTTCCTTACCAGAAGAGCCTGGTGGGGTAATCAATTTTATGCACCTACCCCATAGTAATGGGTTATATAGTACTAGGAGCACTTGCAGAGTGGCCTGGTATAATTAACAGGCTACGAAATTATAAATAATTTATGGTAGTGAGTTCGGCCCTAACTGAGTGACCCATACCTTCGGCCTTGTCCCAAATCGAAGCTACGCTTAGAAAAGCAATATTTAGGTACTACGACGTGATGTAATGGCTAGCAAGCTAGATCAATTACTAGTGAGTTCGGTCCTAACTGAGTGCCCCATACCTTCGGCTTTGTGCCAAATCCAAGCTACAATTAGAAAAACAATATTTAAGTACTTCGACGTGATGTAATGGCTAGCAAGCTAGATCAATTACGAGTGAGTTCGGTCCTAACTCGGTGCCCCATACTTTCGGCCTTGTGCCACATCTAAGCTACGCTTAGAAAAACAATGTTTAGGTACTTCGACGTGATGTAATAGTTAGCAAGCTTGTCTCGGTAGATCAGTTACGACTGAGTAGTGAGTTCGATCTTCATTGGGTGCTCCACACTTTTCGGTTTTGTGCCACTTCTAATCTACACTTAGAGAATCGCCATATATGCAGTCCACTGATAAAGAGACTAGGAAAATAGCCAGTTCAATTCTATTACTCTTGGAAATATCTGCGACTTTCTTCCGCGCCTTGTCTAAGAGACAGATAAAACCAAAAATGGAATATTGCTAATATATAGGGTCCCAATCCGCACGTTCTAACCTTGAGCTCAAAATCGCTTACGCGGCCTTATAGGTGATAATAAGAGTAGAAATAACGAAGGTATATTACACGGAATGCCCGTAGAACCCGTATAAACGAGATTGGGTTGGTCAACCTCCCCGAACGAGACTCTGCCCTTCAGCAGAGCCTCGTCTGAGTTCCTCTCTGCTCAGAGGCAGAGTTCGACCGTCAAGCCGAGCTTCTCGGCTTGATTTTGTATCTAGCCACACTGCGACGAGGGTTGCATGTAGCACAAGGCCGAGTTTAACGTGGGTTTACCGAGCCCGTAGTCTCGGCCAAAAAATGCCCGTAGAAACTGCATAAACGGTATCGGGTTGGTCAACCTCCCCAAACGAGACTCTGCCCTTCGGTGGAGCCTCGTCCGGGTCCCTCTCTGCTCAGAGGCAGTGAGTTCGACCGTCAAGCCGAGAAGCTCGGCTTGATTCGGTATCTAGCCACCCTCCCACGAGGGTTGCATGTGGCACAAGGCCGAGTTTAACGTGGGTTTCCCGAGCCCATAGGCTCGGCCAAAAAATGCCCGTAGAACCCGTATAAATGGGATCGGGTTGGCCAACCTCCCCGAATGAGACTCTGCCCTTCGGCGGAGCCTCGTCCGGGTTCCTCTCTGCTCAGAGGCAGAGAGTTCGACCGTCAAGCCGAGAAGCTCGGCTTGATTCGACCCTCTCTCTTGAGAGGCGTACTATACATAGCGTTAAAAGAGTTTATTCTGTAGTTATAGGTAAGGACCCATGACACTAAGTCAGGGGAGGATTAAAAAGTGAAAACCAGACAAGGGGTGTTTGCATGTTCATTATCACTGTATTTTGATGTATCAGTTTTTAGTTATGTTAATTGGATTTCTCTGTATCCTTGGAAACGTAAATTATGATTTTAGCTGTGTCTTTAAAACCCTGTAATTTTAAAAGTTACTCCAAAATTCACTTGAGGATGAAATGGAACTAATGTCTTTAGTTTAATTACAAAATTAAATTTGAAGCTTTTAGCTTCCATTTTTGAAACATGGTTAGAACTGTGTAGCGAAAAAAAACATTTTAAATCAATTAATTTATAATATTAATGCTCTGTAAATTTATATTGAGCACTATTTTGAAAAAAATATCTATAAGAACACTGGATTATATATCTTACTGTTCTTTCTTTATATATATATATATATATATAAGTTAAGAAAAATTGTTTAGCAATTTGCCATCTAGTCGGTTATTCAGGCTGCAAGAGCCAGGATGTACAATCTTTATAAATTTGTCTTTGGATCACTCTGTTTTTCAAATATTTTAGCCATTTCTTATTTTTTTATGTCTTTTGCAAGGTGTAATCATAACTGATATTATATATATTTATGTGTGTGTGTGTGCGCGTGCGCGTATGTGTGTGTGTATGTGTGTGTGCCCGCGCGCGCGTCTGTGTGTAAAAAAATCAGATATACATAAAATATATCTGTTAAAAAACAATAAGAATAAAAACAAACGGAATCCTTTCTTTAGTAATATGTTTCGTCCCCAAAGGGATTTTATCAAAGCTAAATATAAAGATTTTATTTTACAACATTTATTTGCAAACAGAAACAAATTTGCGGAAAAATGTTGTTGAGTTTTCACATTTTTAAATATGACAACACTCTAGAATATTCCTAACGCTAAGATAAACTATGGAGGATGCTAAGTGATATAATTTAATACATAATAAACGAAAATAAATGTAAATGTTTTTGAATTTTTCTTTTTATTATTTGTTTATATATATATATATATATATTATATTATATTATATTATTTTAACTTGGATTTATTATTGTATAAATTTATTATTGATAAATTTAGTTATTATTTCATTTTATTTTGATAAATTATTTATGCATTTCTTTATTTTAAATCGTAGGGCTTGAGTTAACCATTTTCATTCAACTTTTTAAACATTTTTATACTTAAATATGTAGGCTTGCGAAAGGAATATTTCCTTTACAAAAAGAAACATTTGAAAAAATTCCAGCGAAAACTAATGTTCACCTGCGCATTGAGTTTTAAAAATGAAAAAAAGGACACAATTATAGAAACATATATAAATCTTTTTAAATAAATTTCCAGAATACATTAGCGTGCCAAAAGTCATGTTAACAGTGAATAAAGATCGTGATGTCACTATACATTGACATCATAGTAATGTTGGAACATTTGACATATTTTCGTCTTAGGTGTCTCCTTTGTACCTAGAATTCCTAATCATCATAGCCAGCGTTTTCTGGCAATATAGCAGACGAAGAAAACTGCCTCGAACCCCACAAAAAATACATGTTGAAGATACCATAGACATAGCCAGCAGATAAGTTCAGCATTCTTTAATCTGTATGAGATAGGGGAACAGAAGAGCCATTAGGGTGACCCTGTTTACACTACTATATTGGACACAGGACCTCACTTGGGATTTCGACGTCATTAATTGGACGGTGGCAGACTGGCAACGGAGTGACACGTCCGACATAGTCGTGGTTTCCGTTACATCGTCTTATCGCAATCATTTCAACTCAAGCAAGTCGATAAATGAACAAAGACGCAAGTTACTCAATAGATAGATAGATAGATAGATAGATAGATAGATAGATAGATAGATAGATAGATATGACGACTGCGATACATACATAGATAATGACTTGACAGTAACAGATAGATAGATAGATAGATAGATAGATATGACGACTGCGATACATACATAGATAATGACTTGAGAGTGATAGATAGATAGAGAGAGAGAGAGAGAGAGATATGAAATGACTGTGATAAATACATAGATAATGACTTGACAGTGACAGATAGATAGATAGATAGATAGATAGATAGATAGATAGATATGACGACTGCGATACATACATAGATAATGACTTGAGAGTGATAGATAGATAGAGAGAGAGAGATATATGACTTGACTGTGATACATACATAGATAATGACTTGACAGTGATAGATAGATAGATAGATAGATAGATAGATAGATAGATAGATAGATAGATCCATCCATCCATCCATCCATCCATTCTGGAAATTCCGACATATGATTTTTTACTAAATGTTCACCGAATACGGATACACGGTGAAGTAATATATAGCGGCAGAGAAATCAGAGATCCCAGTTCGAATTCTAGTCGAGTTCCAGTTCATTACATCCACTTATATGCTAATACACATGTGTATGAATCCATCTCTTCTTCTCTGGGTAAATCACCCATGGCTGATAAAAGGAACTATGGATTCATGCATATATATATATATATATATATATATATATATATATATATATATATATATATATATATATATATATATATTACACCTTATGATTAAAAACGCAAAAGATATAAAAGGTAAGAAATTGCTGAAATGTTTGAAAAAAACAGAGCGATCCAAGACTGGATCCTATAGTCGTAGGTGGAATAGCACTGGATTCCAAACCAGTTTGGAGAGCATCGGACTTCTTCAGGTTATCTTGCCCTGGAAACACCACTGCTACAGCAACTTAGGTACATATGGTGCCACTACTAACCTAATAGGATTTAAGGGTCTCCTGATGATGATCACCCAATACAAGACACTCAAGGTAGAAGGTTACCTGAATGAGGTTGTTGGATGTAGGCAACGGTTGACCTGAGACTTGAGGTTAAGATTGTAGTAATCAGGAAAGCAACCTCTCGGGAGTTTGTTCTACACAGTAGATGTTCTCGAAAAGAAGCTGTCCGAAAAGATGTGAAGGACTGAACTGGTGGAACTAAGGATTATACTTCGTCAGAACATTTATCGTGCAAATAGCGGTTTGAGACGTTTCGTATGTGGGAAAGGGGTCTCAGGTGGGGGGGTAATAATTCATCGCCCACAAGGTGGCAGAGACGCTTTTCAACTCTGTCAAGACTGGAAAGTGAGGACTCAGCAGATATAGCTGCAATATTCCATGTACAAGGAACCTGACTGACCATTTGATATGGCTAACGCGTTCGTCCGAGATAAACCCAAGTGAGCATTAACGGGATGTGTATGTGTTGGTGAGGTCTATTGACAGGAAAGATCCGTGAATAGCTATTAAGGCGGCATATCTCAAGAATCTCTCCAGAGTTCTTTTGATAACATGTAGAATCGATGCCATGTCGAATAGCAGTAGTTCGGTGTGGTCTTTTATAATACTTGACAGCTAAAACGTGAGTATTGACACCCCAATGTATAACTTGATTCAATTGAAATCTATCTATCTATCTGTCTCTCTTTCTATCTATCTATTCGCATCTGTCTTTTCATATGTATCTTAATGTCTATTCAATTTTATCTCTATGTATCAGTCTAATTTTACCTAATATTACCTAGTTTGAAAGACTGTATATATATATATATATATATATATATATATATATATATTAAGAAATGGACAAGGTCCGACAATTTATTTATTAAAAGACATTTTATTATATTTTAACGTTGTTATTTTATAGAAAATATTTCCAAATGCTCAAAGATGATAAACAGTTTTAAATGAAAATTTACCGACCTGAATGTCCGAGAAATTTTATTTAGAAAATATGTTTGTCAAAAAGAATATTTGCTTAAATACTTGTTCTATAAAATAACAACGTTAAATATAATAAATGTCTTTTAATAAAATAATATATATATATATATATATATATATATATATATATATATATATATACAGGGTGACCCAAAAACGGGAACATTTTAACAATCCAATAAAACCAAGAGTGATGGAAGAAAACTATTTTATTCATAGTAATTGAAACCTTAAAACATGCCATTTAAGAAACAATGATTGAATTTTTATTTTTTTTAAATTACGTCCTGTACGAATGCATTCTTGAAATCTTCTGTTGAGATTCCTCATTGACTGCTGCAACATCTCAGCTGGGATACAATAAATTTCATCTTGAATTCTAAATGGCGAAGGTCACTGTCTCGCAGTGTTGCCACTTGCTCATGTCTGGCCATACGCACTTCGAAAATTCTCGTTTTGGGGGGTCACCCTGTATATATATATATACCCAGTTCGTATCCCAGCTTATTTTATATTCAGATCCGTTCATGTGATTCTTTTCCCTCTTCCTCCCTTCCATCTCCTTTACTAATTCTTTCTTTTTTCTTTCTTTTCCTTCTCTATTTACTCTCTATTTCAAGATTCTGTTATTAACAATGTGTCTAAGTGAATATTGGTTTATACGCTCATATGTATCCTTTCATATGTCAGTATCCAACACAAAATCATATCTATCTATGACAGTTAAAAGTGTCTATCTCAATGAAGTCATATCTATCTATATATATCTATCTACCTACCTATGTATCACAGTTAAAAACTATCTAGTTACAGTCAAGTTATATCTGATACAGATAAGGCAATCTATGTATGCGTGTATCAGAGTTTGGAGGCACGGTGGAATAATGGATAGCGGCTTGGATTGAGGAATCGGAGAGCCGAGTTCGAATTCCAGTCGAGTCCATTACATTCATTTACGTGCTAACACCCTTGGGAAAGGTGTGAATCCTCTTTCTTCTCCCTCCAGCTATGGGTAAATAGCAGGACAGACTGGGTTCTATAGCCTTAGATGGTAACTGGTCTAGGAGAAGGAAAACTCTGAATTCAAACCTGCTCTTAGATGAGGGTGAATGGAGATTCACTGAGCCTTGGTTGGCAATCCATTTAGTGATGGTGTCACGATAAAAACACCCTTGATAGCCCTAGCGAAGCATCAAGAATTCAGCTATTTGACAAGATTATGAACTACACCAATCAAAGTATTGGTGAGTTCAATCTCGGCTGAGGCCGCCAGATGATGATGATGCGTGTATCTGTCGATATAAAACAGGACTATCTATCGCAGTTAAGCCATATCTATCCATCTATCTAGCTAGCTAGCTATTTATCTATCTAACTGTCTGTCTGTCTATCTATCTATCTATCCAGATATTTATTTATCTATCTATCTGTCTGTCTGTCTATCTATCTATCTAATTATCTATCTGTCTGTCTATCTATCTATCTATCTGTCTATCTATCTATCTATCTAATTATCTATCTATCTATCTATCTATCTGTCTATCTATCTATCTGTCTGTCTATCTATCTATCTGTCTGTCTGTCTATCTATCTATCTAATTATCTATCTGTCTGTCTATCTATCTATCTATCTATCTGTCTATCTATCTATCTAATTATCTATCTGTCTGTCTATCTATCTATCTATCTATCTATCTGTCTATCTATCTATCTAATTATCTATCTGTCTGTCTATCTATCTATCTATCTATCTGTCTATCTATCTATCTAATTATCTATCTGTCTGTCTATCTATCTATCTGTCTCATCCTATATTCTGAGAATGAAAGGAAAATTCTCAGAGAATAAACAGACTGCTTTTGACATTTTGGTAATCGTAGAAATATTTGATAAATTATTCCAAACATTTCTGTAGGTCATGAAACTCCGGAGAGTTCCTAACAGAAGCAATAAACCGGCCCTTTGAATATGATCAATGAGAGGAATAATTTCATTCTAGAATGTCACATCGGGGACTTGGCAGACACCGTAACTCTTATGATCTATCTGTTTTAAAGATGATGCCGACTGAGCCACACGGACGCGAGATTCAAACTTCACCAACCAGAAACTGATATCGGTTCGTTGTAAAAATCGCTACAGTTACATTTGGGAATTTTTGCTTCTGAATTAAGATTGTAAAACAAATGGAATTATCATGGATGGCTTTGTTCAGTGTAATGTTAGACACTTACAGTGTGTTTTGTATTTACTGATTCGATGATAAATATTATGAACTAACAAAGGATGTGCAGATAGCTTAAGTGTTATCGATACGGAAAGTAAAAGTTTGAAGTTCAAACACTGATTTAGTCTGTTTCGATCACTATCGCATTAATGCTCTCGGAAAAGGCACAACTCTATCTTACATTACTTTCATCTTGTTGTTCTTACTCTCGAGTCGTGTTCTTAAACAGCCTCGCGAGTTCGAGATGTCATGCATAGCGCCAAACCCGTTCAGAAATATCTAAACTGTATGGTTAAAAATGTTTTTGAGCGAGTGAAGCCTGTGGTTCTTGGCGAAGATCATCCTTCTTTGAACATTGTAGACTGGCGCTACATAATCACAAACAAAGAACTGTACCAAATAACAGAAACCACATCACTTGAGGACTACCAACAGCAGCAACAACTAAAATGGATAGCACGTGTAACATGAAGGGAAAATAATGATATAATCAGGACGTTGACATTCCACACTACTTCAAACAAAGGGTTAGAAAGGAAACCCCCATTAATACTGCAAAGATCAATAACAGCTACTGGACTTGAGAAACCTATTTTCCTGGAACTTTGCTTTAAGAGACAGATTTTATAGATTTCAACTACAGTAGTACTTCTCGGTCAATAAATTCCGAACGTTTCCTTATAAGGAAACGGTTGCTATTACCATTATCATCTCCGAGACCAACTAAATATTGTTGTTACAAGGGCATATAAGGAGAGAGCAAGAGGTGCATAACAAGAGGATATGTAAGATAGATAGAGCTTACCTTTAACATGATAGGCGAATCATCCTCTTGGGAGTTTGTTCTACAATGCAAGATTTCTGAGGAATTTTCTCGGGGTAACTTCCTCCTTATTAATGGAATATAAAGGGAACGTTGATGAGTCGATTCAATATAACTGAACCGGCGGATCCTAGCTGTGAAGATTTAAACTGATGGAACAAAAGAAGGCAGTTCGCGCGAACATCTGCCATAAAAGTGGCCAGAGGCAAGCGACGTTTCACCTGTCGCAAAGCAGTTGCCGGGTTGATAGCCAGGTGAGGAGAACCTCAATTGAATCAGAGACCCGGTATATAAATGGGCAGACTGATTTCGTAACCAGTTGGAAACGAGATGATGTCTGTCAAGCTCTCTTAACCTAGACGCTCCACTTTTGCCACTGCGGCAGTACAACTTTATTTTCTTTTTTTTTTTTTTTTAAGCATTACGCCCCGAGCAAGGCGTGAAGCCACTAGGATGCAGGGGGTTGCAGAAGATTTGGAGCGAGAGCAGATAGGAGTGATAGAAGAAAGGATGAGGAGAAGGACAGTGGATAGATCAAGGTAACTAGAGATGACGATTGACATTACATTTGAATAGTTAGAAATTATAGCTCTCAGGGAAACTGGAATAAGGAAGGTAGTTTCACAGGCGAGAAGTGCGAGACATGAAGCTATTAGAGTAGAAGTTACGGCTACATTTAAAAGTTTCTACAGTGTAAGGGTGAGAGCGGGATGCCAGCCTCGTAGGGCGCTTGAATTCATGAAGTCTGGGAACCAGTGAAAGCAGCTCATCGGAGTAATTACTATGAAAGTATTTGTAAAAAAAAAGACAGAGAGAGGCGACGGCGCGTCTGTGAGAGAGTGACTGGAGACGAGATGCCAGATCAGGGCCAATTATATTACATATCCGCCTCTGGATCTTGTCAAGAACTCCGAGGTAAACAGACGGTGCACCAGACCATATATGGCAGCAATACTCCATGCAAGGGCGAATGGTTGATTTGTATATTTGAAGTATCAATTCCGGGGAGAAACATTTCCTGGCGCGGCACAGAGAGCCAACTCTCCTCGCGGTGAACGAAGCAATTGACTCAATGTATTTGTTCCATCTCAGGTCAGCAGTCAACGCGAGACCGAGCAGACGCAGAGAGTTGCTCCCAAGAAGTTGACTATCAGACATTCTAATGGGGTTTGGGGCAGGGAAGGATCTCTATGGTGATTAATAGAGAGTAGTTTAGTTTTTGAGGCGTTAAAGCTGACCAGCCAATTCTTGCCCCAATTAACAACCGATTGGAGGTCCATTACAAGACGAGCGGCCAGGTTAGTTTTGTCAGCGACACTAGATTTGTTTTTGAGGCAGGAGTAAATTGTAGTGTCGTCCTCGTAGATGCCAACTTGGGAATCTATGGCGTCAGGAAGGCCGCCGTAATAGGTTTACAGGACTTGCAATCGCTGTCATGACACAATTTTAATTGGAAGTGAAAAGAAAATTATTCTTGAAGTCTTTATATTAAGAAGTCGAGCCAAATTAAAACAGATCTTCTGTTTGGGAACTGAGATATTAAATTTATTAGTTACAAATAAAAAAAAATCTTGTGTTTGAAGATAGAAAAGAAACAAATGTTTCTTTGGTCTTAATTGATATATTTAATCAAGATTGTATTTCTCTCCTTTTCTGACGACATAATCTCATCTATTTAGCAAATTGCAGATCTCTAGGGCGTAAAATGCATCACGCTTCGATTCAAAGAAACACTCAATGCCACTTTTAACCTGTTTACATTTAATCAATATTTGCAAATGTTGCAATGATCTAAAAAGATGATAGGCAGATGGAGCAAGTTCAGGAGAGTAAGGAGGATAAAGCAAAACTTCTATATTTCGTGATGAATTGTTTCCTCAGCGACTCGGTCAATTATCGAGTAAGAGCAATAAGGCTTTACAATTAACCAATGATAAAAGCTTTTTTCTGCATAATTTTGTGCAATACTTTCAATTGATGACAACACTTCTTCCCGCTTACGGCCACATTGCATTGAAACTCTGGTTCCCGTGCGATCATCAAAGTTAAGCAACGTCGAGCATGGTCAATGCCTAAATGGGTAACCGCTTGAGAATACCAAATGCTATGGGCTTTGATATGCGGGTAGTGTGATGGATAATGGTTCGGAATTGTTAATCTGTTCCAGTTGGGATTGCGATATGCACTTACGTACAAATACCGTTGGGCAAAGGTATGAATCCACCTGTTCTCCCCTAGCTATGGGTTAATTAGCAAGACTTGCATTACTAAATCATTATTATCCACCCCCCCACCGAAAAAAATTCTTATAATCTAGAAATATCTTCTGGCTTGAAATAACCTGTAATGGGTTGATAAGCTGTAAAAACTAAATGAATCAATAGTTCGTAACAGTTATGTTTTGATTTAGTGCTTAAGGATAGAGGACACTTCATATCTCAGCAAACGTGGCTTTTTTCGGATGCAAAACCTCGTTTGTGGATAGGTTATCTTTTTCCAATGTGTGTTAACTATTGTTGTTTTGTTGGATATAATTTTGGAGAACGCAAAATTAATTAGTGGTGATTAGTCTACCAATCAAATGTTTGGTATCAGATTTTTAATGACGGATAGAGGACAGGTCTTTGGCTAAGCTGAGAAGCAGGTAGACGATAAGGGACTCATTGACCAAATGGAGACACCTTCTGAGTCCGTAAAGGTTTGGTTTGGTTTGATTTGTGTTACGGCATATCAACCTCAATGGGTTATTTAATGCCGACAAAGATTTTCATTGTTGGTAATGTTTTTGTTTTTTTCCAAAAATCTATTTCTGGTAATATTTTTTTCCTTCAAAAATCTATTTCTGGTAATATTTTTTTCCTTCAAAAATATATTTCTGGTAATAATTTTCCTTTGCTGGTAATATTTTTTTTTTCAAAAATTCATTGCTGGTAATATTTTTTTTTTCAAAGTATTTCTGGTATAAAAACCTATTTTTACAATTTCATAGTGTTTTGATGCCAGTTTGAGGGTTAACTATTTGCCCATAGCTGGGACCCTGACAGGTGCTACCACACCGGGTCAGGGTGAACCTGGAAGGATCAGCAATTAAGAGGTGGTTCCACGCTCTTCAAAACCTCCTGATCAGAGGCCTTGCTGTTGGACGTAGTTTATCGTCTTACCCAGGACGCGGATGTAGTTTATTGTCATATCCAAGACGCAGTCTATAAAGGCGTTTTATGGCTGAAGAGTGACTTTTGTTGAACCGCTAATTCTCGTGCAGATTTTCCAAAACTTTGTAAATTGATTGATCTGTTTTTTACGTCTTATCAACCCTTTGTGAGTTATTTAAAACCAAAATGTATTGTAAGGCTAATTAACTGTTTTCTAGGAATAATTATGATTTTTCCAGACACGTCCTACAATTTAACCCCTATCTGGGGATAGAGAAGATGGATTCATTTGCGCATAAGTGAATGTAATGAACCCGACTAGAATTCGAACTCGGCTTTTTGAGTACTCATTCCGAACGTTTACAGATACTCAATATTAAGAGGCCTTAGTCATCCAGATCGAGAGAAATCTTTGGCGAAAACATTATTGACACGCCCGGTCACTTAAAGCTTCATTTCCATAGACAGAACAAATATATCTTGCTGTTAACGTTTGTGATGCGTCCTCTTTGGAATGGATACAGCATACAGTATAGTCATGATATAAACTCGTTTTAAAAAGTTGCATTCGATACAAACCTATTCATTGAGACATCTGGAAAGAAAGAAAACAAAAAATTACAAAAATTAATGGTTATTTTAACGTAAGCATACTCTCAAAGTGGTCATGTGAAAATACGGCAGGATATTTTTTCGGTACAAAATCTATTCATTAGGCAATCTGTAAAGAAAGAAAAGACATAGAAACGCAAAAATAAATGATTATTCTAACGTAAGCACTCAGAATACCTCTCAAAGTGATCATGTCAAAAGGATATTTTTCGATGCAAATGCTTTCTTATATTTTCTCACATATAAGGGTTTATTTTTTTATATTTTTTTGCTTTTTAATTCAAGTTCTGTTGGTCTTTATTTCCTCTACTGGTATTATTTCATTTCAACTAATACTAATTTTCTAGCATTAGTTCGGAAAGAACGTTCTCCTGCATTTGAAGATAGAAAAGAAACAAATGCTTCTTTAGTTGCAATTTTTATATTTAATCAAGATATTTCTCTTCATTATCGATAACATAATCCCATCTATTTGTTTTGTTATTTACTGATTGATTTTCTTATCTCTTTTCATACAACGCCTTTATTTATTTATTTTATTTTTTTTACACTTTTAAATCCAGGTTATGGTTGGTTCCTTTTCTTCTAATATTCTTCTACGAATATTATTTCATTTAAAAGAAATTATCAACTCTGATGTTAAGTATTCAGCAAATAAAGAAAAACATTAAACGATCAAAATAAATGCTTATTTTACCATAAGAAAGTATCCTCAGAATAATCTTATAAAATACAACATGAATTCCCTTCCAATCTGAAACGAATAATACTTTTTCTTTTACTAATACTACTACTACTATTTTAATGGCGGATTGATTCGTTTTTTACGGCTTTGCAGATTATTTAAAGCCAGAGAATATTTTTAGATTATAAGAATTATTTTGCAAATAATAATGATTTAGCGAGACAAATCTTACTAATTAACCCATAGCTGATGAGAGAAGTGGATTCTAATTCTAATTAGAATTTGATAAACAAGCAAGAAATTATGGTTTGGACATTAAGTGGGAGATCAATTCCTCATGACAATAAATATATTAAATGATCCCTGAATTTGTGGCTATTTTAGTCTATACATTTATACATAATGGAAATAAATGTAAAAGACATGCCTGTATAGCTAATCAGTATTTCATTGATTGATTTATTCGATTTCTATGGCATATCAATCCTTTGCATGTTATTTAAAGCCAGAAAATATTTTTAGATTGTAAGAATTTTTTTTTTTTTGAGATTATAATGATTTAGTTATACAAGTCCTACTAATTAATTCATAATTGGAGGCAGAAAAGGTGAATTCATAATTTTTCCAACGGTATTTTGCGCGTAAGTGAATACGACGAACCCAGCTGAAATTAGAACTCGGCTCTCCGATTAACAATCGCGAGCCTTTAACCATTAATAGTTTCAGATTATTATTTTTTTTAGTGGCAGTGTATTTGGCTCAGACCTTCTGAGACTGACGTGGGGGTCAACTGGTAGATAAAATAGAGATCTCAATTTTGATTGGCTGAGCCGAACGTGGGAAGTTAGAAAGCGTTTACAAGGAGTTAAGTTTTACGCGTCGAAGAATGCAAACGTGTTAATTTCATGTCCGGGGAACTTGCTCCATATTGGAGGTGATAGAGCGACCCCACTGGCTAGATAAAAATGTACCCGTCGACGTATTAATAAAATAGAAAAGTTTCAAATCCTCTTTATTAATGTCTGCCGTTTTACCTCGGAACTTAAAGAACAACTAGCGATCACTCAGCCGGAAGATGACAGAAAGAACAAAAAGCAACGTATGAGTGAATCAAGACCGTCGTTCCGAGACTATCCGCAGCACGAGGTGGGTATACAACAATTACACCAAACGCACATCCAAGCTACAGAATCCTAGTTATTGACCACGTTCAGCGTTGCAAAACTTCGAGAATCGGTGTTTGAACGTGATCTGACCGTATATTAAGCAACGACGAGCTTGTTTATAAACTAGATGGGTGGTCGCTTGGGAATATCAGGTGCTGTAAGCTTAAATGTGCAGGTGTTCTGCTTTTAAGCTTAAATGTGCAAGTGTTCTGCGTTTAAACCAGCTGCACATAGAAGCTTACAGCACCTGATATTTCCAAATGGTCACCCATCTAGTTACTGACCAGATTTGACGTTGGTTAGCTTAGGTGATTGTACGAGAACCGATGTTCAATGTGATGTGACCGTAAAACTTGTAGGCCACTTGCACATAAAAGCTTACAGCACCTGATATTCCCATGTGGTCACCCATCTACGTACTAAGCAGACGATGTTGCTTAACTTCGGTAATCGTAGGGAATCCAGTGTTCAGCGTGATGTGGGCGAAAGCCTTTTAGACCACCGGCACATGCAAGCTTACATCGCCTAATATTCACAAGTGGTCACCCACCTTGACACCAAAGCACGCACCACGTTGCTTAACTTCGGTGATCGTACGGGAACAGATGTTTCAACGTAATGTGGGTGTAAGTCCTTTAGAACACCTGCACATTTAAGCTTACAGCACCTGATATTCCCAAGCGACCACCCATCTAGTTTATAAACAAGCTCGTCGTTGCTTAACTTCGATGATCGTTCGAGAACCAGTGTTCAACGTGGTATGGCCGTAAGCCTTTTAGACCACCAGCACATCCAAACTGATATCGCCTGATATTAAAAAGCGGTCACCAATCTAAGTAGCACCAAGCTCTACGTTGCTTAGCATCGGTGATCCTACTGTTTGAACGAGATGCGACCGTAAGCCTTTTAAATCACATACACATAAAAGCTTACAACACCTGATTTTCCCAAGTAGTCACCCATCTACGAACTAAGCAAACTTGACGTTACTTAACTTCGGTAATCGTAGGAAAACAGTTGTTCAACGTGATGTGAGCGAAAGCCTTTTAGACCACCTGCACAGGCAAGCTTGCTGCACCTGATATTCCCAAGCGGTCATCCATCTTGGTACTGACTCGGCTCGACGTTACTTAACTTTGTGATCGTACAAGAACTGGTGCTTCAACGTGACGTAGCTGTAAGCTGCTATTTTTTTATGCTATTATTGTTCTACTAGTTTTGACTATTCCATTAATATTACATTTTAACTAATTCTATGCATCTACTCATCAGTCATCGATTACTAACGGTTTTTTTCCTCCTTTTTCAATACAATCAGTTCGCGAACAAAGATGGAGGAGTGTTTTCAAGGCAGTTTACATGACCCTCATGCCGTCGGCCTACTTCGGTTTGGAATATTCCTCTGGACTGTGCATGTGAAATTTTAAAGTGGACTGCCGCACGCGCTTTACCACCCCAGCGAGACCGGATGACGGCGTTAAGGTCACGAGGTTTGATGGTGTCATTCAGAAAGTATGGCTAACCCGAGTAGACAAAAACACTAATCGTGGTCACACCGAAAATGTCATGATTTTTTTTGTTTTTTTTATTTATTTTTTTTCTACTAAATGGTGTTCCAATAACTTGGACAGATTTTAAATGGGAATTAATTTTAAGCGTCCAATGATTTTTTTTTCTTTTTCTTTCAGATTTGACGGACATTTGGACGATATTATTTTTTACACATAATTGCCACGACTTAAATAACATGATCCAATAGAGAAATAAATGAATTTTCACGACTAACACTGATTTATTCAGTGCTGACTTTGATCCTTCTTAATGAAACACCCTTTACTATTAAGTTTTATTTTAGTATGGTTTGCAAGAATGTAGTGATATGTAAATTACTGCTGAACTAGCATAGCTAAGATATAGAGACAATATACATGCTCAAGCAGTAAGCGGATACGATATGTGAATCTCGGATGCTGACCGGTACTTCCCCAAAATGAAGAAGTGCTGAGAGGGATTGAGAATTTCTCTACAGTACTGCCGATAAACCCACATTAAAACTTTCATTACATTACGTTGCCGTCGTCTGAATATCAGAATATGCTAAGCGAGTCTCGTATGCTGGGTGGCAGAGGGGTTCGATCCTCTGCCGATAATATGGCAGTACCTCTCTTTCGGGAAGGTGATGGGTTTATTGCCCGACGTCCCTCAAATGGGGAAGTACCGAGGGGAGCTTGAGAGTTTTTCTACGGTACTGCCGATTAATTCACATTATACTCGAGTTTGCGTCACATAACCTTTCCGTCGTGGGCGTGTGTCTAAATAACGAATCAGATACGTGAGATTTATGACAACCGCTGGGCTGAGAAAATACAAAAGAAATCACATTTCTTAACAATGTCTATTTTTATATTGTCGCGGTTTTCATCACTTTTTCTGCACCCCCGCTCCCCGGCAAAAATTTCAATGGCTTTGGCAAATATAGAGAAAAATAGATAATTTGTGAACTATTCAGTTATTATTAATAATAATATTATTATTATTATTATTATTAATAATAATTGACAGTTATTATTATTTATACAGTTGACCCTCTGGTATTAAATTGCACGGTATTATCATCCACCGAATATAAAACTCGGCATGACGAGTGGAATCAATATCTGCATAGGAAAATATTCAACTTTTATGGGAAGGAAACAGTAAGAAATTGGTATGAACTCCACCCAGACCTGGTTACAGACATCGGACCTGTAAGAATTTTATGAGACTTTACAATACCCACAGACAGATCTATCAAATCTAATCGCCCAGACATATTAATCAAAGACCACAAAAACAGAATGTGCTTTCTTAATGGCATGGCAGTTCCTACAGAATGTAAGACATCAATACAAGGATCTTGAAGTGGAAATCTTAAAAAGGTGGCACATGAAGACATCAATAATTCCAGTTGTGGTTTGAGACATCGGTTTGATTGGAAAAGGTTCTGATAGATTCATTGAATGTATATTTTGCAACCCATGCCTTAAAGAAATACCCCAAAAATGTAATTTGCATGTTGAGATGTTCCTTTTCCTAACAACCATGCATTCTACAATTGATGTTAATCTTTTCTTCTCACTTTCCTTCACTAACTTCTTTAATAGTTCTTGTAGTTTTTTTTTTCTTTGTCTGCCATCAACACTGTGTCATCTGCATATTTTGTTGTTAAGAATGTGGCCGCCACCATTTAATCGTTCTATTTTCTCAGTATCGCTTTGTTGTATAAGTTGAAAAGTTCAGTTTTTGTATATTTACTGAAATCATTTTCTATCCGTACGCTAGCGATTTAATGCGACTATAGATTCTGGAATATTTTAATCTCCTTCCCAAATGTGACGAGGTTACCTAGCAGTTCCAACAGTTCTTTGTGACGGACTTTATCAAACGCTTGCTTTTGCATAATCTATGAAACTCAGATAGACCAGCTTCCGCATTTGTAATGCACTATCTGATATCGTTCTGAGCATAAATATCGCATTTCTTGTTCCATTGTCTTTGACGGACCCGCACTGTTCTTACTCTATTTCCTGTCTAATTATATTTCTCGATCTATTCATCAGAATTAGGTCTACTTTCTAATCAAAGGACGTTTTAGACTCCGGTGCAAGAATCATTACTTATTTAATTAGTTGACTCTTAATACCTAGCGGTGAAATATGTAATTACAATCCAAACACCATAACATATATATCTATGCTTTGTCTAAGATTCATTTTTTTTTTTCAATATTAAGCCCAAGGCCTAGGGAACCTTCCCCCCAGGTAAAACATCGCCCCCGGGAGGAAGCTGTGTTTACTGCCTGACGTCTGAGGCGTCCCCAAAAGGCCAAAGAAGTTAAAGTAGTTGGTTAAATACTAACAGGGTTCGTCTGTCTGTCCAAGTTTTCTGACTAAGCTGTTTTATACAGTTGTTAAAACTTTCAAAATTAATTTTTTGTTCATTTGTTTATTTGTATGTTTTTGGGGGAGGACTGGAAAGATCCCAATAGGAAATCAGATTCATAAGCAGACAAAAAACAAAATTCTTGATAGTGACTGTAAGAGCAATCGAAAGTAGTCGGATTTAAAAAAAAAAAAAAAGTCTGTAAATTTTACCAATTCAATACAGCCTCATAATTGTCAGTTGGAAAAAAATAATATAAAATTTGGCAGATAGATCTTTTCGTTATTGTTCAACCAAACTTGCTCAATATATATATATGTGTGTGCGTGTGTGTGTGTGTGTGTGTGTGTGTGTGTGTAGTAATCCGTTGGTATAATCCAGGCGAGCCCTATTAACACAATATAGAATTTGAAATATGGTTAAAACTGACTCACAAAGAGCACAATGTTTATTTCATTAAACCGAGCAAAATTTTCTTTACAGTTGGAATTAAAATACCTTTAGTTAATGACCATTTTCACCTACGAATTTTAATTTTAAAATTCACAGGATTTTTCAAACTCTTTGTGGTATCAGTTTGTCGTGGGATATTGTCTAATTAGGAAGAAAAAGAGGGGGAGGACATTAAAAGGAACATGGTGAGAGATATGGTAGAAGAAAACACCGTTACAGGAATTATATTATGGAGGTAGGAGAGCCTGAGTAGGAAGAGAGAAGAGGGAAACCGATGAGCTGACCTACATCCTAATGGTCACACAGCCAACGTTTGATCCAATGGGAATCCACGGAAATTAACGAAAACGTGAAAAAACAATCAAGAGGTAACTTTACTGTTACATTAGAACATGTAAATATCCACTACAAAATTGTGCATTTTGTTTCAACCTTAGAATCAAACGTTTCTTCAGGTGGATGACAATGATGGTACTAAACGATTTTATTTAAAATTGCGATTAATGAAACACTACTTCACTTTCCGTTTTTGGAAATTTTTCCATAAAAGGTAAAAAGCATTTATATAAAGAAAAAGAAGATAAGAAATCAAATAAAAAAGTGGGGGAAAGAGGTAAGAAGAAGATGAAGAAGAAAAAGAAGAAGAAGAAAAAGAAGAAGAAAAAGAAAGTCAAGAGAAAGCGTAGTAAATTAACCATACTACCAAGAGAAAAGACAAAAAAATAAAGGCAAGAGAAATAGAGAAGTATATTCAAAATTACCCAGATTCATAAGAGGAAAGTTAAGACGATAGGAAACATTTACTTGTTTTAAAAAGAAATATTGTATACTAAAAATTAAAAGTGAAAATTTTTCAAATCGAAGTTAAATAAAACGTATTCTAACCTAAACAACCCCCAAAAATCTTTAAATATACAAATAGAAAAAAATGCCGTAAGAATTTTTGCCGTTAACAATAAATTTTAAAAAAATCCAGACGACATGCATTCAACGGATGTCAGAATTCATTGAAAAATACATCCCTACTGCTACCAAAACGTAACTAATAACGGATACATCAAAATACAGCGATAATGAACACGCAGACACCCCTTGTCTGGATGAATGGATTTCACTCTATCCTTGGAAACGTTAATTATGATTTTTTGCTGTGCTTTTAAAACCCAGTAATAAGTTACTCCAAAATTCGTTTGAGGATGAAATTGAACTAATGTCTTTAATTTAATTAAAAAATTAAATTCAAAGCTTTTAGCTTCCATTTTTGAAACATGGTTAGAACTGTGTAGCAAAAAAACATATTTTAAATCAATTAATTTATAATATTAATACTCTGTAATATTAATGCACTATTTTGTAAAAATAAAAATATCTATAAGAACACCGGATTATATATCTTACTGTTCTTTTTTTTTATTTATATTTATATTTTTTATTTTATATATATATATATATATATATATATATTAATAAATGTTCATATTATCCCATACTGTTCACACAACTCTGTTTGGGATAATACATATATATATATATATATATATATATATATATATATATATATATATATATATATATATATATAAATCGAGTGTTGGGATTATGAATCTGGAATACACACACAGCATTCAGGATTCCATCGTTGAGCGACAGCAGCCTGGAGAAATCCTAAGTAAACCAAAAATACAGTGGCCCAAAGGTAACCAGAAGACTGTTTGGACAAATCTTGACAAAGAGCTTTCTTTTATCCTTAATAACAATCTTAAGGGTCACATAGGGCAACAGATCAGTTCCTT